ATCTTCTATAACCTTCGAACTTGCCCAAATCCGCATCTGAAAAAACATTCAATGTTCAACATGCCTATGATTACTGTAAAGCAGCCCACGACCGGGATTACTTTCAAGTAGCACAAAATCTTGTCCCAAAAGCTTCCCAATGGATACAGTAGAGAGAAGAACATAAACTGCTCAAGACGCTCCACAGAGTAAGCAATATCTGGACGGTGTCGGTTTAAGATAATTCAATTTGCCACAACCTTCTAACATCCGAGATAGGATCATCAAATAGCTCACCCAATTGGAAAGTTGGCATATTTGGAGTCATTGGAGCCACTGCATTGGACTTGCACCCAAACTTTCCGGGTTTCCTCAGTAAGTCAAGGACTTATTTCCTTTGAGATAAGAAGATGCCTCTCTTACACCATAGATACTTCATACCCAAAAAAAATACTTCAACAGCCTAGTCTTTGTCTGGAACTGAGTTCGGAGAAATGAGTTGGTGATGTAATGCCGGCTGAATCACCTGTAATAACAATGTCATCAACTAAACCAAACAAGTAGAATCAAACAGTCCTTGTACTTTCTGAAAAATACAGAATGATTCAGACAGTACTCTTCTGCATGCCAAATTGATGTTACACATTGCAAAATCTTACAAACCAAGCCGAGACTCTGTTTTTAGGCCATAAGAGATTTTTTGAAGTACATACATTTTACCGAACTCCCCCTGAGCAACAAAGCTGGGTGGTGCTTCCATGTAACTTCCTCCTGAATGGACCCCATGAAGAAAGGCATTCTTAACGTCCAGCTGATGTAAAGGCAGTCAAAGTTACAGCTGCTAATGAATAAATAAACGAACAGAAGGACATTTGGCAAACAGGGAAGAAAAAGTATTCGATAATCAAGGGCCATAGATCTGGAGAATAACCCTTTGCAATAATTCGAGTCCTTGAGACGAGCAACAGTCCCATCAGGATTCACATTTAACGGTTGAAAACCCCACTTACAACCAATGCTTTTTCTTACCTGGCCGGAGAGCCCCAAGATCCCAAGTACCATTAGTATTCATAAGGCAGCCATTCCTCTCTTCATTGCTGCACACCAAACAGGGATGGTACAAGGCTTGGACAACAGTTTAGAATAGAGACAGAAGTCTAGTTACTTACAAAACAACGAGTAATGAATGAAGAACAAGGATGATCATAACAAACAAAAGGAGGAAATAGGGTAGGTACACTTGCGTTTACCTTTTTCTAAGAGCAATGGCAAGCGTCCAAAGGTTGACTGGGGAGTTGGATGGCACAGGCTCAGGTTGAGTGGAGAGACCGGATTCGTTCTTGTTTTGAACGGCAGTGGAGGAAAGTGAGTCAAGGAGTTCCTGGGTCTTCCTGGAATAAACCTGTTCAAACGAGGGCGTGTAGATCTGGTGCAGGGAGCGAGCGGAATTAGAAGCCAGCAGACACTGAGTAAGGAGAAGAGCAAAGGTCAGGGAATACGACAGGGAGCAGGGATTATGAACTTGCCTGGATAGCATAGACTAAAAAGGTCATCATCCTCCTCTCACTCTTATATATAGAAGAAGGAAAAATGGCAGTTATTCTCAAAAATGTACATCTGCAGAAATAAGATAACGGTCAAGATCGGGCAGAGAGAAAAACGATACCCTTTTTGATGCGAGAATACCCAAGGAAAACACAACGAAGGGACTTTGATTCTAATTGAACCTTGTGGACGAACATTCACGAACAAAACAAGTTACAACCAAAAATACGAGGTTCAATGGGGGAATAGGAAGTTTAGAAGGAAGCAAGAACATTATAAAGGAATTGCACATTAAGCACAGAAAGGGAAGGCATGCCCGATAATCAAAAACATGCAGTGAACAGGCATCAGCCCACCAACCACATGTTTAGGGACTCTCTCGCGACCTTGTGCGTACACGGTGAAATAAAAAGTGCCCTAGCTAACTTCAAGAAGAATGCCTCCGATCTTTCTTTCTGCCAAAACCCCTTTTGAGAAGGAAGTATTCAACACAACATGTTTGATGGAGAATACCATTTTGGACATATAACGATTTGGAGGAACTAGATAAGTATTCTTTAGCATTATCACTGTGAATATGCGAACAGAAGTAATTAAATTTGAGTTTTAATTTCAGCACAACACAGAAAGAAAATAGAGAATATCTCAGACGAGTTTTCATTAAAAATAACAAGTAACACGAGATAATTCATCCACAAAAGTTACAAAATACCGAAAGCCAATTTTTTAGAAATAAACCAGGACATTGGACCCCCAAACATTTCAGAATGAAACTCAACTCAAAAGGGGATTGAAAACCCGTTTATTGAACTCGAGGAACTAAAGGTAACGATGATGTTTTGCAAAATTGACAAGATTCAACATTCCAAAGGACTGAAACTGGCGGGGACAAACAACTTTCTTTAGTAGACAATGATGGATGACCAAAACGAACAATGGAACCTCAAGAGGAGATAGAGCACCAGCACAAGCCAAGAGATAATGAAACGTGTTCATCAGCGAAGATAAGGCCACCAGACTCCAGTCTTACCAATTAATCCGCTTCGTCAAAAGATCCTGAAAACCACCACAATCATGTAGGACTAAAATTTTGGACACAACAATTCAGCATACGAGTAATTTTGCTAACAGATAATAGATTAACGAAAAAGGGCAAAACAAAAAACCAGAAGACAATGGAGCAGATGGAATGGGATTTGGCAGTTGCCAATTACATTTACAAGGGTGGTGGACCCATCAGCTAGAGTAACATGACGATTTAAATTTGTTAGGTAGTCTTTTTAATGAGTTATAAGAGACTAGGTACCTGCTCTGTGATCGGCTGCAACCAGAATCAATGACCCACTTGATTGAGTTGTAGACATAAGACAAGAAGGAGGTACTTGAGTTGGCAGCAGCAAGCAATTGAGGATTTAGCTTAGACTTAGAAAGAACGGTATCTAGAAGAGCCTCAGCTACGCTCACTCGCCAGCAGAAATTGTTTACATCTGTTGTCAGAAGAAGTAAATGGCATTCAATCTTGATTTGCCATATTTACCCCTTGGTGGCTATTTATTAGTTTCTTGCAATACCGTTTAGTGTGACCAGGTTCATTTGACAATAATGAACAGATTAAGAATGCTTGTTCTCCCGAGTGATTGGTCCATTACCACGGTTATTTCGTCTCCTCCTCTTCCTCTGTTCCTGGCTGTCTAGCTACCGGATTATGACTCCAAGGGCACTATTTTATCAGAAGGGAAGGTGTATGAGAACCTTCAGTACGGCAGCAATCTAGCAAAATTCCTGAAGAGAGGTTAACATCACTGCTTGAAAGATTGTGATTTGCCAGTTTCAAAAAACGGAGCAGACCTGCACGAAAACTCATTACAGCCATTTTGTTCTCGCTGCGTTTGTTGGAAAACCTTTAAACATCGGGACTAAAAGGCAATAAAACATTAAGTTCCTCGTAAACTTTTAAATTCCATGTGAAATAAGCGTTAAAGGGTCATATCTCGCTGGTTACCCGATTAAAATTCCTATTGCAGACCTTCATACATACGAGACAGATTACCTTTCCGAAATTACAAGAATTCAGATTATTCCATATTCTATCATACTCACAATGATTGATTGAATCCAACCACTTCACTGTCAATAGAATTGCGAATCAAGTAGTAGGAATATTAGCATCTTCCCTGAGCCAAGCGTTGCTAGTGTCATCAGTTGTTGGATCATCAATTTAATGATCATTCTTTTTCAACGCTTCGCAAATAAACTCCGAATTGTCTTACTCCAATTCTAAAATAATTAGTTCCTTTCCCAATTTATGCTTCTGTGATCTCTTATTCAATTGCTGGGATTAATTCAGTAATAGTATTGTTTTAGATCTGAGTTGGAGGGATCCATCTTATTAACAAAAAACTAAAACCCTACCAGCAACCAAAAAGAGATCCAAAAAAAAATTAGCCTTTCAAAGAAACAGGATCAAACAGTAACCTTGAAAACGCCAAATTGACAAAAACTGAGCAACGCCCCTACCCAAAACTTCGCCCGGATTCCGGAAAAAAAAACAAACCACTGAGTAGATTGTTGAAGTTGGAACGAAGCCAGAAGAACTATTTCCGATCGCCGGAAATAGCCGGACGCGCCGCCATGCGCGGCGGTCACAGCTCTACACCGTGTACTGTAGCAGAAACACAAAAGAAGCGCGTGGGGCCCGACGCGCAGGGAATCGGTGACGGATTTGGGAGGAACGGCCGCATCGGCCACTGGGAACCTTCTGAGGTAGGTGAGTGAGACATAAACGGTACCCTAGAACTGTTCACCGAGACCGAACAGCCGCTGATTTCAACCAAACGGAAAAAAAGGTTAACGAGCCAAAAGGCTCTGTCCATGTTAGATTAATGTGCGAAAAATATTTTTTCTTATTTGATTCATCATAGGGACCACATATATATACAATACAAAGATACTATTAACCTATTAATAAATTCTAATCCTAATTAGAGTTCTATTTACAAACCCTAATGAGCCTTCTTTGTTTACAACTAATCCTTAACAAAGTTTGTTAATAGAGTTTCTATTAGGAGTTAGATTCATTGAGTTTATGATTTGTATTCTAATAGCTAGGAAGCATAGGAAGTTCCTTATATATAGACCTATATAACTTGATTGATAAGACACAAAGAAAAACCGCCCTATTATAGATATAATCTGCTCACATGCGGTATCAGAGCTTCCATTCACACACACACCCACACACACCACACAAAAAAAAAAAAAAAAAAAAAGAAAACACGAAAAAAAAAAAAAAAAAAAAAAAAAAAAAAAACAAAAAAAAAAAAATTTCTCCGAAACTTCCCTTTTCGAGAAGCTTTACTGCCACCCTAGAGCTTTCCTAGGGTTAAGTATTTTGCCCTTACCATTCCACCCTAGGTTATTCTCCAGTGCCGATCAGCGGACCTCAGAATCCGGTCGCTGGTTCCAAGTTGAATGGCCACCCCACTCGGCCACCCTCTTTCTTCCCCGCTCTAGTTCACGACAGCTTGGTGCATATCTAATGTTCTTTTTCATTCCGGTTCCTCTTCTCCGACGTTGGCTTGAAGAGAGACGTGCAACCCAGTGGAGTTGCATCGTCATTCTTGGGCTTATTGCAAATGGGTTTGTTGCTGCGATCTTCTGTTTGCAGCTGTGTCGGACAGTCCTCTGCACTGGTTGTTGCTTTAATTTCTGAGGACTTCCGGACACACGCTGCATAACTATAGAATCGCAGCAACAAACCCATTGAATAAGCCCAAAGAATGACAGATGCAACTCACTGGGTTTGTTTTGCTGCGATTCTGTTGCAGCTGTGTCGGACAGTCCTCTGCTACTGTTTGTTGCTTTAATTTGCTCGAGACGAATATTTTCTTTGACGTGTGGACAATTGGTTAGGTAATTTTCGGTGATTTCAGTGATTCCATTTTGATTAGTGTTAGTACTGCACTTGCTGCAATTTACAGGTATTTCTGCTTCTTTGAACTTTCCTCCTTTGTCAAGAGCAGTGCACCCCAGTGAGTTGCAATTGTGTTTCTTGGCCTTCAGTGGGTGGCTCCGTGTTGCCAGATTTTCCTTTGCTGCGTTTCTGAATATCCGGCTACTGGGTTTCCTCTTTGAACATGATTATGGAAGCTTGAAAAGCCCTGTGAGTTTTTCTGTTCAGGGTGAGATTGTTTCGACAACCTAAGTGTATTGTTCTTAATTTGCTACTTACTATTTGGTTTGGGAATTCTATATTGCTATAATGAAGTGTGTATTAGTTGCTGAGTATGGTATTGTGCTTTGTGAAAAGTTAAGTAGTCTGTAACCAAGTTTGAGCATGATTAACATCTATGCTCCAACTGAGGGAGTTTGTTAAGAATTAGTTGTAAATTAGAGTTCTATTAGGAGTTAGATTCCTAATTGTTTATTGATTTGTTATTCCTATAGCCGGTAGCATGGGAATCCTTATATATAGACCTATGTAATCGATCCTGGATGAGATACCAATAAATACAATTACAATATAATCTCTCAAGCTTTACCATAAGATGCTTCTTGCCAATCCTGGTGGAATAGAACTGAGGCCACAGCACAGAAAAAATCTATTATGAAAGAGCAGAGGTAACTATAGGAAAACAAAGTTAAGAAATAGGATGTTTAATACAACCTTCTAAACTTCTTCTTCTTAATAGCAATAGGGAAATTAGTCAAAACCGTCAGCAATAGGAAGTTCAGAATCAATAGGGAAAATTAGAATTATCTAGGAGTTAGCGAAGACTCCCTGTGCACCACGATGGAATCTTTTAGGTGAGTGAAGATATAATTAGATAGGCGTTGATATGGTACAACATGCTCGACGGCTGTTATCATGTCAACTTGTCCAAAAAATTTTTTAGATTTCAAATATTTTAGCATCCTCCTAAGTTTCTCTTTGTAAAAGCTGTATGCATTTGCAGGATGAAGGTACAGGCTTGTACGCCTTCCATAAGCACCGTATGTTCACATCCTTTAAAATTTACACGCTTTGTATGAGGGTCGAGTTCAGGCTATAACATAACAGTTCATGGAGGGAAAACTAATAATTATTCTTTGGTTGATTTGTTGTCATTCTGTTAATTGCTTTCTTGTGTTCCAAATATTTTCGGCCACCAAACACCATTTTAGAAGATATTTGTTTGCAGATCCTGTCTGCAGATCTGCATTTGCCATCAAGGGCTCCTTGATCTCGAAGGACAACTACACCATCCTGGTTTGTGGTCTCATGTTTTTTTAGGGTTTGACTGCTCATCGATGTAATTGTAGGTTTACTCATTCAAGCTTGTCCAGGTTTCCCTTGTTTAGCAAAGATTCCTCAATGTTGGATGGACCTTGACAATGCCAGTGTTGAGGATGGAAGAAGCCAAGGTTTGTCTTGCGTTTTTATATGTGAATATGTTCTGCAGTCAAGCATTCTAGTCATTTGAGTAAGATTACGGCCCAAAAGAATGTTAATAACTCAATTACGTATATTCCTTAGTTTATACGCTGATATATGCCTAAGACCTGCTTTTTTACTACTAGTGCTGATTGACTTGATCTCAGAAGATAGACATGGTTAAAACCTTAATAAACTAACTGTACTGGCATTTAGCTTAACGATAAGGCCTTTGGATGTGGATACCGGTGCTCTTTTGTGACTGGATGATCATGAATTACTTGTGGAGGACAACATTTCTTAAAAATTTATGATAGAGAAACTCTCCTATACCTTCCCTGGCATGAGGACCCTCATGAGCCATGGATGCCTTTATGAGCAATTAACTACACTTTGATGTTTTGTCAAAATTGAATAGGGGTGGGATGTTCAGCATGACGTGTATGCAATATGAACCTTTGGTTATAAAAACACAAAAATTAAGGAATTTGCTGTTGAAACCTAATTGTTTCCATATGTAATAACACTTCACAGAATTTTTGAAAAAAGATAATCAATTGTCATTGTTTACGAGTTGACATGCCAAACTTAGAACACTACTGGATTGGTATATATTTACTTTCTATATCTTTCATTATGGGACTAATTCCGGTCAATAACAACTACAAATCGAACCTTTTTGCGATTGACCTTTAAATATCTTATTTTCGGGCAATCCATATAGGAACATATCTTTCTCTTATTGGATACATAAGTAGATATTGTCTAAATAAAAACTTTTTTTTTCTAAAAAAAAAACGAAAAAGCATTAGTTTAACAGTTAAGTTGGGTTTTATTAGTAAACGTGTTGTGTCATGTTAAGTGTAACACCTATGTATTTGGCACAACACGAAAATAACATTTACCAACTTGAATTGCCTCGCCCATTTTTATTCGTTATCTAAGATAATTGGGTCCCTTTTCTCTTTTTAACTTTTCAGGCTAGGTTAAAATAATCTAATTTCTGGATTGCAAAGGCTTGCTTGTAACTACTGGTTTCCTCTTGAATTTCCTTGGCATTGACTGATGGAGCTGGACTGCCTCAAAATGCTTCTGAAACTTCTTCCCCAAAAACTGGGAAACTATATTTTCAACTGAGAATTTTACCTTGTACTCCTATAAATTATTTGATGTATTGTTTGCATATTTGCTTGTTCACTATTGTATGGTTTTTACAAATGGAATGTTTTGGTTCACTTAGAAATGAAATGGATCAAAGTTTTTTTTCTTAAATAAGTAAATAATAATTACGTTGGTTATATATACTTGAAAATTGGATGAATTTCAATATTAAAATTTCAAAGGTTAATAAATATTAAAAATATGTATAAAAGAATTGGATTCCTTGTGGAAACAAAACCGAAAAATGGAAACCTATCCCAAGCAATTTTTTTAACTAAACCAAACATTTTTTACGCCTTCAACCTCCACTCAGGTGTGCTCCTTTGCCTAGAGGCTAGTGCCTGCCCAAGCAGTCCTTTGCCGCCTCTAATTACTGTGGTGGTTAATCCCTATTTGGCTGTGTCTTTGCTTTTATTAGTAATTAAGATAAATGATTGCAAGTATATACAGTGCACAAAATATGATAAAGGGAAAAAAAAGTATCATATGCCAAAAAAAAAAAAAAACCTCTAAAAATTCTTCAAAAAAAAAAAAAAAAAACTCAGTAGCTCTTAGTTTTGAGATGGAACAAAAGAACTGTTGATTTTCAGAGAATATGTGAAAAAGAATTCCTCTAAATTTTTCTATATTACTTCATGAGATTATACATCCTATTTATACACACACATGTAGTTCTAAATAGGAAGAAATACAAGTAAGGTAGGATCAACAATCTCTCCTAAATAGGCTATGCTAAATCACACAAGTCAACAAGAACGTTTTGCATCACTTTTTGTACCATGAGGTTTCACCCAATGCTGCTTGATGTGATTTTGATTAATATCGTTGAAGTTATATTTAAAAAATATCTTTGTGTCAGACTGCAGTTCAACTATGGAACCAATTGTTTATTAATTATATATAAAATATGCCTAGCTATATCAAGAAAGTCTTTTTATTATAATATCTTTTCTCCAAAAGAAAATAGTCTTAAGAATAGTAGTAGTTTCTAATATGGAACTTATATGATGTGTTATATATAATAATGCTCGGAACTATTAGTCAGACACCAAAAGAGTATGTTTGCATGTTATAGCATTGGTTTTATAACCTATTTTATTCTTTTTTTTTTCAAACTTTTTTTTATTTCCTTCTCTGTTTGCTTCATGGACAGGTAAAATTGACTAAGAAGGTCACAGAACAAGTGAGATTGCTTGCCAAGGATGAAGATGAAGAACTTACAGAGACAAGCTCATACAATGTAATTCTCCCATATGACCAAGCAAAGGCCCTTGGTAAAACAAACATTGATATTGATCGTATTGCTGCTGGATTACCCTGTGGTAGTGAGGGATTCCTTTTGATGTATGCACGCTGGAGAAAACTGGAAAGGGACTTGTACAATGAACGCAAAGTGTAAGTGGTTGCTATCTTTCGGTTGATCATTCATTACATTAATAGTGTAGATAATCAATAAAATATATTAAGAATATTGCATTTTCAATTCTTTCAAATTACTGAGAATTGTGTTGTTCTGGTGTCTACAAACGGAAAAAGGGTTCTTTTCTTTTTTTTTTTTTTTTTTTTTTTAGTGTGCTTTCCCCCATTGGGTACGATTTTTTTGCTGATATTTGTGTATGTGGGGGGGGGGGGGGGTGGTTAGTATTTTAATATGCTTTCCCCCATTGGGTACTATATTTGCTGATATTGTGTCATTGTTGTTTTACTTGCAGACGATTTGATATAACTCAAATTCCTGATGTTTATGACTCTTGCAAGTAAGTTCTCTGTTTCCAATTTGTATGTGGATGCAAGCTGTTTGGTAGTAGTAATATATCCATACATAAGTAAAAAATTCTGTTACTCATGATGTAGAAGCACTTTTTGTAATGTTATGATTTTAGCTTGAAGAACCCATTCTCCTACTAAGCTATTAGTAGGCATTCTAACTTAAATTTGATTGTTATTGTCTAAAGGTTATTGCTTGTGCTATTCTATTTGCCATCAGATGTTGCATTGTTTATCCTTATATTATGTGTCATGACCTTCCATTGATCTGAGAACCTATTGTTACTCCAGATAGTTCTTTGAGACACTCCCTAATGTACAAACTGTTAATTCTTCAGATAATTCTTTGCAAGTGCTTGTTGAAATATGGAATGTAAAATCTAAGACCTCTAGTGGATAAACTTCCCGATTCCAAATTTGTGCATTGCTTTATTTTAAAGTTGCTTCTAAACATTGTTTTTACCTGTTGAAGGGCATCCGATTTGAAAATTAGTAGTGGAAAGACATTTGAGATTTGCTGACTAGCACCTCAATTATGGTGGTCTAGGTTGGGTTGTGCTTGTGTGGTAGCCAATATAGGCATGTAACAACATTTGGTCTCAGAGGCATGCCAAACATGCACTTTTGCCACTACCTGTGCATGAATACGTAACATGCACAGGGGCCATTAGACACAAATTGTGCTGCTGGCATGCATGTAGGCATGGCTATTATTTCCTAGTGCTGAACAGGAAAGGGAAAAAGAAATTTGTAATGACAGAATACTTTTAAGTTGATGTTATGTTCCATGACACTAAAATTTAAGCCAATTGATGGCCTTGCTTCAAAACTTTATGGAAATCCGATTTTAAGAATGGTCTTGTATTATGTCATTCCTAGGTACACCTATTCTGACTGATAAAGTGCTTCTTTTCAATTGACCAACCTATCATTTTGTAGATATGATCTGTTGCACAATGCACACCTTAATCTAGAAGGGCTGGATGAACTCTTCAAAGTTGCTCAGGTATGAATACTGTCTGATCACACACTAGTTTCATTATTAAAGGTGGTTTGATTTCCATTTAAATTTCACATCTTATCAATTGTTGGTCTAACTTACTGATAATGAGATGAGTAATCCTGCTTCTCATTATAACAATTCAGGAGTGCCACAAATACTTATTTTATTGCTTTTATCTTACTTCCATTTATATTATTATTGCAGTTACTTGCAGATGGTGTCATTCCAAATGAGTATGGGATTAATCCGAAGCAGAAATTGAAGATTGGCTCCAAGGTGAGGCCCTGATTTGCTGCTTCTGGTTTCATCTTGCACCATAAATTCATTTGATAGGTGATAGCAATTTGTTTGGTTGCTTTGGGTTTTTGTATTGACAACCTGTGTTGATTGTAAGATCAGAACACTCTTTCTAATGTTTCCTGAGGAAACCATTTGTTGCATATTCTCTTTAAGTATGTTTGGGTTTGTGGATTCACAGATTTTAGCATGCATTTCTTAACAATCACATGGTTTGTGCCTTGATAGATGTGTCTGCTCTCTTCAACTTCCTAAGAACATGAATGCGTTATTAAACATAGCTGAACTTCGACTTCATTGAATTTCAGATTGCGCGTCGTTTGTTGGGTAAAATATTGATTGATCTAAGGAATACCCAAGAAGAAGCCATCAGTGTTGCAGAATTAAAAAGCAATCAAGACCAACATTCAACATTAACAAAGAGTGAAAAGGACGATCCAGATAATCAATCAAAGTTTTTTATTAAAAATGAAGACCCCAGAAGAACTAGCACCACAAGTGAAAAATCGATGGATCAAGATGATGATGATGATAAAGAGACAAAATATCGTTTGGATCCAAAGTACTAACTCCAACCATTCAATTCATTCTTAAAATGTTTAATGCCCTAACTGAATATTGCAACATCAATTACTCTTAAACAGGTATGCAAATGTGAAGACGCCTGATCGCCATGTCCGGACACGTCTTTATTTTACTTCAGTAAGTATAATATGTGCACCATTTGCTTGCTCTGAAATCGCCTTATACCTCTTTTGTCTCTCTTTCCCCCTTGTAGACAAACACAAAGCAGGAGTCAAGATTTTCTTAATTTTTTCCTCCATAGAAATTTTTTGAACATAAAGTAAAATGGGAATCATTCAAATGTGTTTGCCAAGAAAGGTGAAGAAATAGCTTATTGGTTGCTTGTTAGCAATTTTTCCCTCATTGAAGAAGAATTTTACACTTGCAAAGTATCAAACTCTCGTGAGGGACTTGAAAACATTTCACGGAATCAATGTCCTTTTGGATTTCAAATGTTCAGATTAAATCTGTATTTGTTTCCTTTCTTTGTGCACTTTTGGTATAGTAGAAATAGCATTAGCTTTTGTTTGGATGGGTGAGGGAAGGTTTATTAAAGTAAGATAAGGTAAATGTCAGGTGTAGTAACTTTGTGTTGTTTGGTCTGGGGGTATCGGAAGGCAATATTAAATATGAAGATTACGAAAATGCCCTTCTCATGAAAGGTGTTATTTCAGATATATAAATTGGTTAGAATTTTTTTAATAAAATATTAATTTATGTATATTAAATTGCTTCTTCCTAAACTAGATTTTGAAGGACATTAAAATAAAAATTTTTAAGGACATTATTTTAAAAATTTTTACTGAGAAAAAAATTGATGAAATAGGGTATGGGTCAATTTCGGGTTCTTTTTTCTAGGAAACCATGGATAATATGGGAAATCAACGTTTTTAAGCTTCTCTAACTCCTCCCATTTGATGGGTTGGAAAATAAGCATAAAAAAACTCTCCTCCCTTAAATCCTCTTTCCAAATAACCCATTTTGTTAACTGTAGCTTTATCTTACCCTCAGAAGCCCCCAAAACCCTCAATCCAAAGAATCTATTAATAGATTAGAAAGGTATCGAGTTAAACCCATGCTTTTCTACCAATTTATTATTTCTCTAGGCTCATTCTTCTACTTCTTTCAACATAAAGGAGGGTTGCCCCTTCTTCAAAGAGGCAACAAGAGAGAAAATATTATCATTGCTATTCTTCCTTCATTTGCTCTAGTTGACTTTATTATGTCATGAAAAATTTTAGATATTCCATCAATTTGATATTTGAAAGTGCTATGTAGTTCACATCCAATAAATATAAAAGTATGATATTCTCTTTGTATGACACATGATGGCACTCTTAAATTATATATTGCAATTTTGTCCAACAGGAATCTCATATCCATTCCCTTATGAATGTTCTCCGTTACTGTAACCTGGACGAATCTCTTCAAGGAGAGGATAGTCTTGTTTGTCTTAATGCCTTGGAGCGTCTTCACAAAACCAAGGAGCTTGACTACATGAGTTACATTGTGCTGAGGATGTTTGAGAATACTGAGGTACTGATTCTTTCTGTACTGTGTTTATTTAAATTTTTCAATTTTACATGGTGTTTAGCTTTCTTCTTTAAGATGAAGCATTTCTATTGTTGAAAGTTAGTTTTTCTGTCCTTGGCTTGTTCTATAAGCAGTCCGCCAGAAATTGGTTTGTTTGGTCTGATTTGAGACCTTGAATCTAGCCAATGAAGTGGTGTTTTTCTTTTTCTCTTTAATGCTTTGCAACCAATTCACTGACATTAAGTTTTGTTGTTAATCTTTAACCTTGAGGAACCGGAGTTCTTGTTGGCTGTCTTATTACACTTTGCATAAATACCTTTCATTTCTAGCAACCAGGCTGTGCACAGTTTGATTCTCTTTATTTTTGGGAACCAGAAACAAAATGCTCCAGAACTGTCAAATTGAACTGAAAATTTTGGTTCGGTTCGATTTGGTTCTTTGCTTCTAGTTTATGTTCCAGTTCTTTTTCTATATTAACTGAACTCAATTAAAATATTAAAATTGATTTTATCTCTATTTCAATTGAACTGAATTGAAATATTGAAATTGAAATATTAAATTAATTCAGAGTTAACGAAACCCTATCCAAAACATTACTGCATGTGATTTTTTGTTGAAATTTTAATAGAAATCCTATCTATTTGTTTTTTTTTTTTTTTTTTCGAAACCCTATTCCAAAACATTACTGCATGTTGATTTTTTGTGAAATTTTATTAGAAATCCTATTCATTTGTTTTTTTTTTTTTTTTTTTTTTTTTTTGACAGGACCTATTGTTATTGACACTTTGTTAAATAACCAGTATATATATATATATATATATAACCTAAATTGTATATGTTATATTGGCAACTATTTTATATTTAGTGGAATTGATGGTATCTAATTTTTTTATATACCTAAATTGTATATGTTATATATGCAATATTTTTATATTTAGTGAATGATGGTATCTAATTTTTTTCTTTAAATTTTATATTAAAATAAGATTATCCGAGAATATGATATCAATTTGGTTTCATATTTTTAGGTTTTATAATATCAGTTCTTTTTCAATGTGTAGCTTATTTAAAACATCTTTATTCAAGTTCTATAGATGTATAATTAAAACAAGTTTATTATGATTATTAATTCTTAAATTAAGTTGCATATTTTTTTTTTTTTGAAAACAAATTAAGTTGCATATATTATAGTAAGAATTTTTTTTTTTAAATTATATACATTTATGGATTATCTTATTGTTAAAATATTAGATAGAAATGGTAAGTTATCAATTTCTGGTGTGGGCAAATAGTTCAATTTTTATTAGTAAATATTGGTAATCTTTTTTTTACATAATAAAATATGATGGCTGTTTTAGATTACATAGTGGCAAAATTTTTTTTTTTAAAAAAAAATTATAGATCAGTTCTTTTGGTTTGGAACAATTTCGGTTCAGTTCTTAATGAAGAATCCAAACTAGAACCAAAAGAGTAAACTGCATTCAGTTTTGGTTCCTATGGTCTGGGTTCTTTGTCGGTTTCGATTGGATTCAGTTTGGTTCGGGTCCCCAAGAACTGTGCACAGCCTTACTAGTAACAATGTACTCTTATACTTTTACCTTATTTCTAGCTCATTTAATGGTTACATTGAGATAGTTTCTTAGATCCAATCAAAAATCCAATTGCACAAGTATCTGCCCTCTTGATTGTTGGAATGTGTGGGTGTTATACTGAGCATGTTTAAAGCAGGAAAACAACTTCTTATTGTCAGGATCATGTAACAATGCTTACTCTACAATTGTACTTAATGGTTTACTTACTAATACTAATTTCACTGACTGCTCATATTTGTTATTCTTCGATAATTATTCATATGGGATTCTTTTGCTTAACAAGAAGTGTTCTCAAAATTAAAACAGCAGGTTGCTTTAGAAGACCCAAAAAGGTTCCGCATAGAGATGACATATAGTCGTGGTGCAGACTTATCCCCATTAGAGGTAATGTTTCTTCAATTGTTCCGGGGAAATTTCCATCTACTTCAATTATGTCCTAAGGCCATTTAAATAAACATTTATTACTTTACAGAATAGGACATATACATATGTATATATATTAATGGGAAAAGCAATGGAGAGAGAGACAAAAGGATAATATGCCCTTAAATATGATTTAGCTTATATTTTATTTGGAAACATGGAATTGAATGTTAGATGAGAAATTGGACTTCAATGAAATGAGAGGTTAGACTTATGGTTCTGAAAATTATCATTAGTTGGATTAAATTTTTATGGAATTTACCTTAAATTAGGTTACTAAGGACATGATACCTTTGCATCTTCGGATTGTTCAGTAAACTTCTTTTCGCATTTCCTAATACTATTAAATTGACCTTGCTAACACTGAGAGTTATCTGATCTTATGTGTATCCACAAGATTAGATTTTAAAAGTTAGATTACATATATTGAAGTAACATGTTTTAAGGGTGATGTTGACAAATGACACTATTTCTATTTTGCTTGACAGAAAAACGACAGTGAGGCTACCTCATTGCATCAGGAACATACGCTGCCTATTATGGGTCCAGAAAGGCTGCAAGAAGTGGGATCGTATCTCACATTAGAGAAAATGGAGAAGATGGTTCGCCCGTTCGCCATGCCAGCAGAAGACTTTCCACCAGCAGCAACCCCAGCAGGATTCTCCGGCTACTTCTCGAAAAGTGCAGCAGTACTAGAACGCTTGGTGAATCTTTGGCCTTTCCATAAACATGACAAACACGCTACCGCTAATGCAAAATAATAGCTTAAATTCTTTTTTTCTTCTCTGTTTTATTTTTTTAAAATTCCTTTTGTTTTTCGCATTCTTCTGTTACATTAACATGAATTATAACTACCAAGGTGAGGTTTAAGCTTTCCTGGGAGAAAATTTTGAAGCATAACTCTTAATGGCAAAAGATAAGTTATTGTAAGTAATATTAAGTTTAAACTGAAATTGCTCGTATCCTTTTCTTCTTTTTTCTTTAGCTAGTGGGTAATAACTATTGCTTAAATATATATAAAAGATTTGCTCTTAACTGATCAAATCAAATTGTTATGGTTTCTAAAATATGTGGTTTGGTTTTGAATCTGGTTAAATAATTAAGAAATAAGCTCAGGTGATTGAGTTGAATTGATTTGTTTCAATTATATCTACCAATCTGTTCATTTTGGCTTTCTTTAAAAAGAAAGTTGATTTATCCCAATCGTACTATGGTTGAGGAAGTTTTTGTTCTAATTGAATAATTAAATTGAATAGATGCTATTCTTTTTATTTTCTTATTTTGGTTTGGTTTTTTTTTACAGAAAACCAAATGGACTGAAATAATCAAATTAGTGTTTGGATAAGTCTATATTTTGGTCCATAAAAAAAATCGACATGATTTCATTTGTTTGGTTCAAGGTTCTTTTTGGTTCAATTGGGTTTCTTTTCTATTATTAAAAATGGATTTTTTTTGTTTTATTCAATTCAACTTGAATTTCATACTTAATCCATTTCAGTTTCCACATTTTTAAAATTCGGACTTTTCAGTTGGGATGTGTTTTTCAATTCGGTTCGGCTGCCTCCACCCACCCCAAAGTTACGTGACCATTTTTTCCATCTCGTGCCATTTCTATGTCCATGGAGAATGATTAGTCAATTTCAATTTATGACAGGTGCTTTTAAAGAAGACAAATCTTATATCCTCTTAGAATCGTATCTTCTGTATATATGTAGACATTATAGAAATGACAAAATCAAAATGGGTCCTGAATTGATGACTAAGGGAGCAGTAGTGGTTAATTTCAGAATAATAAAACGACATTATATAATCAGTCTTATTTCTACAAACTGTCACAATCAGTTCCGTTGCTCACCTTCACAACTGCTACGATGCACCTGCGCTTGTTTGTGAGGGTACGATTGAAGATTAGTATAAAATTGATACAGAATAGCCTATTTATTTCATTTACTTATTTTTAAAATTTTGTTTTAAATTTAAATGAGATATAATAAGATTAAAATTATTAAACGTGGGATAATTATTTAATGACATAATAAATTTTCAATTTTAATTAAAATTATACATCTGCGATATTTTATTGTATACAGCGGTTGAAATAGGGGTACTAAGATTGGCCTTCTTAGCCCTATCCTCAAAATTCACTGCTAAAATCATATAAAATAGCAAAATTCTGCAGGTTGTAAGAATTGTATCAAGAAACGACCTTTAACCTCTCTGATTTTTCAATTTTAACTTGCTACATTTGCCCTATAAATTCAAATTATAATAAATTAATTGTCATAATTGCATCTTAAATTCAAATTATATTAAACTTTTTATCATAAGTACATCATAAATTTAAACTCTAACTCCGAGAAAATAAGGTTCAGAATATAGTAAAACACTTTATGGTGGCTTCGTAGATGAGGTTTATTCATAATGAGAAAGATGATAGAGGAAATGGAGGCACAAAGGAGAGAGATGGAGAACCGATTGACAATCAATGAATGAAGAGGAAGATTAGAAGGTGATGGTTAAAAGGAAACGCAACGTTTCACTTGATCAACAACTTGGATTAAACTCAATGTTCAAAACTGAAATCCATAATTTTTATTTTTTATCAATAATTTGCTATAATTTGAACTTATAAATGTAATTATACAGAAAATTTACCCTAACTTTGATTAGGGTGCAAATGTGATAAAAATAAAATTAGAGATCTAAGGATTAAGGACGTTTTATCAAAAAATTTAGTGTATTTTATATGGTTTGGTCAACTTTTTTTTTTTTTTTTTTTTAAATTGCCTAAAATAGGATAGTTTTAAAATTTTAAAAAATAAAATTTTAAAATATTTTATTTATTAAGATGAGAAGTTTTGCAATACCTTTAAAGACAATAAAATTCTAGCAGAACCGTGAGTTGGATGAAGGAAAATGCATGAGCTCTTATTTTACTCATTGTTCTTTTCAAGTTCTCTTTTTATGGTAAAAAAAAAAATGATCCAATTCAACAAGGATCAAATTGTGAGTCAATCTTCCGTACCTATTTACCTAATATAAATAAATAAATAAACACATATATATATTACCATCTAAATTTTACTATTTTTATAAAATATCAAATTTTATAATATTACAAGAAATTATACTTCTTTTCATAATTTTTTTATAATTTTGTTATTAAAAAAACTTATTATTTTTCAACTTTTTTATTTTCAAAATAAATACAATTCGGCCAAATAATTTTATTATATTACTTGCCTATTTCACATGACTTAATAACAACATCAAACATCTACATAATGGTATTTTTACTAGTAAAAATGTTATGGAAAAATAAGAAAATTTAAACCCTAAAATAAAAAAAAGGGGAAATGCATACCACTACATTTTAGTTTGTTAATTTACATTTCCCCCCTCCATTAATTTATTCCATGTATAACTCCCTTGGAAGAGTTAATTTACTTTTGTATTTGGCCAAAAATTTAAAGTGTGATGTCCAAATAAATATTTGAAGTACACGTGTTAAAGAATCCAAACCAAAAGAATGAAGTGAGTCACAAATCACAAATCACAGATCAAAGAAAATTTATGACAAAGGGTGCTGTCTCATAAAAGATGAAACACAATATTAGGAACAAAAACGTGGGAATCACGATTTTGAAGCTTGTTAGGAGCACATCTTCATCACCACTTCTGCCTAATCGATCTTTCTCGTTTTCATTTTATTAAATTTTTTTTCGTAACTTACCCCTAAAAAGACATTTAAGTGGTCTCCAAATTTATGAAAAGCGGTAAATAATGAGAGAGATGATGTTACTTAAATGAAGAGTTTTATTTGCTTAGGCTTCCAACCAAGCAAGACCGTGGCTTCACTGTTACAACTGCCAATAAAATTTCAACCTCAAATCTAGAATGAAAAATTGGCATGAAATTTGAAAAAAAGTTTGGGCTGTCATGTAAAAAATGTCCACATATTTTTGCTATAAGTATGGACTAACTATTTTATATGTTTGTAATATTTTAAGTTGTTTATAAGGTAAAGTTAATCATAATGGATATAAATGGTACAACAATTTTTATTTAAGCATTGTCGTCGTTTGAAGGAAATTTTCTTTTGTTTTGGACTCATTAGAATTGTGTGTAAATCTTACAATACATGCAAACTTAATTACGAGGGATAGGCAGAGGGTGTGTATATAACTCAGACTTTGCTTGCAACTTGATCAAATTTAATATGTGCGTATAATGTGAAGTTCTCACTCTTTTAATGAACGGTTTAATTTGTTTTGAAACATTAATTGTTCAATACAATATAATAATATCTGCCACTTTTTTGAAATTCTCTCAAGGTCAATGTTTAAACTAAAAACCAAAACAATAACATATTGAACTTTTTACTTTGGCATTATTCCTAAAGTTACCATTTTAAGCAATTTTTTCTGTATAAATAGAATGCAAAAAAAAAAGAGGAAATTTTCCTTATATAAATAGAACAGAGGGAGTAAATCCTTTTTTTTTTAATATCCATTGAAATTAAACGGTTCATATTAAATTTTTCTTAAAACTAGTCAAATTATAATCAAACATTGAAAGATTAAAAATCGATGTTTTAGTTTTGTTTATATCAAGATTTAATTAATGATAATGTAATAATTTGACTATATTTATTGACAAGAAGTACATAAAATGAGAGTAAAATACTCTTTCTATTTTCTTTAATTATAGTTTTTTTTTATATAGAGAAACTTACTTGATTTGATAACTTTGGAAAGAATGCCAAAGGAAAACGATTATAATTCCCTTAATTTACCTTTCTTATCTGCATTAATTTTGTTAGAAAAATGAGATAATGACAAACAAAACACGGGTTATTGCATTTAACGTCCTTATGTTTTCAAAGCATAATTGAAAGTGTATTCTCCCTCCATTAAATGCAATATTGTTTTACTTTTAATTATGATGCACATATTTATTCGTGTTTTCACGCAATCGTTTAGTACATGAGAGTTAATAATGTACACACGTGAATAATATTATCACGAATTTGGATAAAATTTTATATACATATGTAAAACATGATCACAAAGTTATTTGGAAATACACTAATTTAATAAAAATTCTTGTGTACTCTATTTTGCATTGAAACTTTATCAATATGCACACAAGATTTATTTATATGTGGGTATATTTAAGAAGTTCAAAAGACTCTTTCATAAATCATTGACTCTGCAATTCTTTTATCATTTTTGCGCACATATTTTTCAATGGACAATACTTAATGTCAAGAAGTAAGTCCAAATTTTAAAACGAATTTCAATTTTAGGTAAAGTTTGAATTTAGAGAAGGAAAATGTGAGTTGGCTGACAGTAAAAATAAGACAATATTTAATGGTGTTTCAAGGGCAAACTAGGAAGAAAATAGACAAAATATTCAGTTAAACTACCTCATTAATCTTTGTGCAAATTATGTTTTCTCTATATAAAGAAAACAAATATAGAGTAGTACATTTCAAATGCTATTCACTAATAATAATAATAAAAAAAGATAATAATTTAAAATGGATGAAAAAAAAACTATGGGACAAGATGAGTACTGCTCCATTTGTTCTCTTTATATAGAGAAACTTGCTCATTAGGGCGTTTCTTTTTTATAGAGAACTTTACTCAAAATGGAAACTTTGAAAAAGATATAAGATGATATCCAAAATGTTCTCATATTAACTATGTAATCCGCATGCCGATGGTGCTTTGAACGAGGAAAGTGACAGACAAAAAAGAAAAGATATTTAATGCACTTAAGTTTCTAAATTATGATTGGATGACTATTTTTCAATGTGTATTTTTTTAAAGTGTGCTCGATTTTATGGATGTGAGCACAAACATGAGTGATAATTTATGTAATTATTCAAAATATGAACACATAATTGGATAACTGCACCATAGTTTTAAAAGACCTTTTTATTTTGATATCACACATT